GTGCGAAACGAAGAGGTATGCGAGCAACAGCTTCTGCCATTCGGGGCCATTTGGGTACTTCCTATGTCGCCTAAACGCAGAGGGAGTTCGTTCTATCTACACACAGGTTAAACCGAATGCGTTTTCTGCCGGGTCTGTTGCAGCTCTGTTGTCGTCTAGAAGAGGCGCAAGTATGCTCTGTTCAAGGTTGAACGAGTTTTTGCGATATATCTATTTTCTGCATCAGCTGCCGCGTCTTCAGCTTGCTAGTGTAGAACACCTGAGAATCAACTGGCAATCATACGCCTCAGGACAGAAATGACCCGCAGGCACATGATCGATAGCCAATTTGGGAGAAAAAAGCGGTGCGCTGAGATAAATTATAACGGGACTATTCTTATTGGGTACCGTTCTATGCGTGCAGAAACAAACAGCAATAGCAGCTGCAACAGGAGCGGCGAAAGAAAAAGTACGCTAGATCCTTAGCCGGCCTTTAAGGGTTTTCGGTTTCAGTCAGGACACGGAAAGAAAAAGGAACCCTACCCTTCCGCCTCCTCAACAAATTTAACTGGAACAGCAGAGCTATACGCAAATGTGATGGAGGGTTATGGCTCTATTCATATGCGACAATTAGCGTGATTTACCTTGACATTTTCGTTCCAACGATTGCATTTTCTTATGCCAGTCTTTCTCTTCATGTTGCTCCCATAGGATTTGACTGAGAAGTGTGCAGCCCTCGAGGCGAAATTGGAAGAAATGAAAAGACATCATGATATCGAATCTGCTAAAAGGCAGAGAGATAACCTCGAAGTCCGCCGTCAGCAGCAGGAACTTGCAAGCTGCAGAAAGCTCTTGCAGGTAGGCGAATATCTCCCAGGTGCTGTAACTGGGGCTAGTGGGAACAGTGTCGCTGGATATTACTATATCATACTTCACTCTTGACTTGGTAGTGCAGGGGAATGAAGCCCTCTAAAATCAGGAATGATGAGTGTCTAATGTAATACTCAGTCTCTACAGCTGACACAGAGGGAGCTACAGGAATGTTGCAGGAAGAAGGACGCCGAATTGATTGCATGCAAAGCTCAAGCAGAGGTACGCGTTCCTTCACCAGATATATATTGGGCTCTACTCGTTTTCCTACTAAACTGCTCCTATGCTTTCTACCATTTGTTTCTTTTCGTAGCGGGAATCTGCAGAGAGAGCTGAGGCAGAAGCGACGTGGGCCCGCACCATCGAGGAACAGGTTCAACAAAGAGTGTCGGTCTTGGAAAAGGACTTTGCTCTCCGCATAGCCAAGTACGCTTTGCTGACAGAGCTGCGTTCTGTATGCGAGTGCTGTATGTATAATATATATTTCTGGCTGGCGATAATTGTTTTGCCAGGAGATTTCCATTATACATTAAACGGCTCGTCGTGCCTTCCCCCTGCAAAATATTGACACTGAATGCGGTGTCCTCTTGTGTGCGGGTTCTTTGCAGGATCCGCAAGAAGGTTGCAGAGAGAGCAGAGTATAATCACCTTCTCGATGAGTTGCTTGCCGCTGGTATGTCCCCACCTTTGTCCGCCTTTGTAGTAATACTGCAAAAGGGAACTGTTTCTTTAGACTTAATCGATTTAATTTTCTCAATTGTTCGTACCACAGAAATAGGTAGTATTTATATCTATACACACAGGAATATGTTTCATGCCAACAAGTCCAAAAAGGGCACCTGTGTGAGCTGTGAGCAGAGCGCTCCATAATGAGACGCTGGCGAGAAGGGATGGA